GAAAACTGTAACAGGCACAAAATGGTTACTAGGTCGGTCCTAGGGACTGAGCCAGTGTTGAAAGAGTTAAATGAATGAAAAGTTTCTACAATTTTTCTGAGGCATCTGTACAAATCTAGTCCATTTCATAACTTTTATGCTGTCACAAGCATAAAAATAACAATTATGTTATAATTATGTTCATATTGTACATTTACTGCTATGTTAAATGTAAGATTTTTGTATCAATGCTTTAAATAATTTTTCAGCACGGAATTCAGTCATTTTATTTTCATTACATTATCAGTGACCTAACATTATTATTTTTATAATAAACTAGAGATGTAGATATTCCATTTGGTGATAAGGATCCCCGAGGAGACTTTACCTTGCAAAAAGGAGACTGGGTTCGGTTTAAGATTGCTACAGACCGACGAGACAATCTACAAAGGGCCACTAACATTGAACTGCTTGATGAAAGTTTCTTGGTATCAGGAGAACAGAGAGAGCAGGTGGGTTTGATCTTCAGAATTTATTCCATGAAAACTTAGTTTATATTTAACATAGTTAACATTTAATGCCCATTCTTGTGCATGAGACAAACATTCTTAAGTATTTAAAACTTTACTGACTTTACTTGCAGAATTATTATATGTAAGCGATATTTAAAAACATGTTAGCATATTAAAAGTCAAAAGAAATAAAAATTCATTCAACATGTTTCTGTTAGTGATAGCTTTCACTCATGATAATTCTCTCTCACCATAGGTTTGGTTGAATCATGACCCCAAACTGACTTTTATAAGTTTCCATACTATAACTTCTATGTTTTGTGTATCTTCACAGAACTTCACAAGCTTTCAGTAACTATTAAGAGTCATTTGTAGACAAAAATCCGAATTTTAAATGAACTATTTTCACTAAGAATTTCTCCATGAATATATGGAGTCAAAGTGATTTTCAGGTGAAGATTAAAAATTCATTTGCATAATATCTAAAACTTCCTAAATAAATTTCAAATATTTTTTTCAGTAAAATTTAATATTTTATCTGTTATTTTCTCTACCCTAACTCAAAACGATGTTGGTCAATTTAACTGACCTCATAACCACCATAAAATTAATTCAAAATAAATCTAAATTACCCTTTTTTCTTTCTAGAATGAAAGTATTTAACCCAGAAGAATATCCTAAAGCCCTAGCCATTCTTGACATTGTAACGTTCTGACCACATGACACATTAGTACTACTGGAGTATCCTAACACACTTTGCTCTACTTTCTCAATACAAAATATATATGTATATACTTGGACAAAGAATATTCCCTGCTTGAGAAGGATACACTCTCTTACAAGATACTGCTTCACTAGGCTACTGCTGGTCGTATAGAAGTTACACATCATGGGTTTTCCCTTTCTGTTTCAGAAAGGAGCTCATCTTTGTAATTTATCAGTACTGGCCCCCTCCACCATCTGCAGTGTGAGATTCTAGCTCTTAGTAGTGCAGAGAGGAAAGTAATGTTTCTGAAATTAACATTTTCCTTACCTGAAAATGTTTTTAAGATAAATACCTCTCTGCACCAACTCCCCTGTTCTGGTTCAATTTGTTTGCCTCATCAAGAAGGAGCCTATGATCATGTGCTAGTACTCATGGGGATTACTGCAAATTGAGGCCATGTTGCTCTCTTATTGGTGTAGGGCTACAGTATTATGATGATTATGTCGTAGATGGTACAATACACATAGACACATGTATAGGTTGGAGTTTTCTCAAACCTTGTGGCATGTGCAGGAAATTCACTGCAGTTGTTCATGAGGTAATGGTTCTTTGTGGTGTAGAGAGGTATGTATCTAGCTGAAGTACAGTTTCAGGAAGGAAAATGTTAACTTTAACACTTCTTCTAGTGGTGTTCTAGCTACTAGACCAAACTGTAATCATTGAAATTAGTACATGCAACTGGACATGATATCAGAATTTATTAAGACCATCAGTTATTTAAAGCAAGTGGACTTTTCAATCTCTAAGTTGTTCAGTGTAAGGTTTGCTTTAACATTTTTTTTTAAATATGTAGAATATATTTAACACTTACATAAATATAAATTAGTTTTAACTGTGTAAATAGTTTCTTTTTTCTGTTACTTTAACCTTCTTGCTGTAGGTAGTTTAAAGTGCACATGTCATGACCTTTTACAGAGTTACATTCAAAATTCGATTAAAGTACTTTATTGTCAATGTACACAAATAAATTTGGCATCAATGATTAATGAATGAAATTTTGATATCATACAAATCTTAAGATTTGATTTTATAAAAACATATTTAAATATATCCTCAGTCTCTCCTTGTATGAGAATTATAACATTTGTTCTCTTGGTTTTCCTTCTTCTATAATTTATTTACCACCCCTCTCTGAAGTACAGGGTTTAATGTAAATTACTCATTAAGATACATATATTGCTAAAGCAAAGCCTAATTTTTATAGCTTTCAATCTTCTTTGTTTATGGGGTCATAAACTAGTAAACCATATCCACTTGCTATGCCCACTTGTCGCATCCTCTCTTTCATAAATTGCCAATAATTCTCTCTAAAGTTTTATATTATATCACTTATATCCAAAGAAAAGCAAAGTTTTAATCTGTTAAATGACATATTATGCAACAATATTTTCAGTACAGAATATTGTTTATTTCATCTTCAATTTAAAAGTTTATCTGTTCAAATTGAGTAGCTAAGGGAATTGGGAAAAAAAAATGAAATTTGGCTTCAGAAATGTTTACTCACCTCTGCACAACAAAGCTATTACCTCATGCCACTGCTGTGAAGATTTTTACACATGCCAGAAGCTTTGAATGAAGCTCCCACCCTTACATGTACTAATGTGTATTGGACCAGCCTATGATGTAATCATCATCAGCCAATAAAGCTCTCTACCAATAGAAGGGTGACACATTCTCTAAGCATAGCAATCTCTATAAGCACTAGTATTTGAACAAAGGTTCATGCTTTCCTCAGTAATGATTTGTTCAGACTTTTTTTTTTCTTAGGAATTAACAGCAGTTTTGAGCTTATTATTTTGAACTTCATTACATTTTGTAGTGTAGTTCTTCCTTAATTTTTCTTGATTATGAGAAAGAAATATACCAAATTTTAAGCATTTCAGTTAGAACTTTGATTCAAATTTTCTTCAATTTGATTTTTTCTTTAAATCAAATTTGTATTTTTGGGACGTGTCCCATTGTTTTGCTAAGGTTTCTTTGACAGTACTGTTTCCATTTATTTTAACCCCGCATTGTCATTAGGCCAATAATATAGGTTTATGCACCATTGACATAACAGGCCAATTTGTATTTCTAACAAAACAAAGTTTTGTGGATCATCTGGATTACAAGTTCATGTTTCCACTTTCTCACATCTCCTGGAGTTTTGACACTCGTCATCCAATACTGTAATGGCAGCTGGAGACACTGACAGTTAGTGATGTTACTGCCATTGTGCACCAAATGGTTGATTCTTTTCTGATCTTGGATCTAGGTTTACTGACTCCATGCTTCTGTTACATCAGCTGAACCTGCCCCATCTTTTGACAAGTTTCCCCAATGTTGTTTCCATGCCTCTTTTTGCTTCTAGTTTACTCTTCCTGATGATGATCAGGTAATTCTTCATTCCCCAGTTCATAATTTAATTATGCCACACTTTGGCACCATGCAAAAGGCTCTTTTAACAATATATTTCGTTGTACTACCTTTAGTGGATGAAGAGTATTCTTTGCTAGATGGATGCAGTTTCCCACCAATTGATACCCCACTAGTCAAATCTCCCCTACAGTGGGTGACGTGCTTCATGAGATTCTGGCTCTGTTATTTGTGCAGGAATGTAGGCAAAGATGTCTGAAGTTAACATGTTCATTACCTAAAAATGAACTTATTTTGATTAGTTACTAGTCTTCACGTTTCCACTTTTCTTCACCATTTCCATTGTATTTATTTTCCCTCATCAAGAATGACACTTTGTTCCAATTCTAGTGCTCATGGGGAGTACTGTGCATAAAGAAGTGTCCCTTTCTGTTGTTTGAAGGCTAGAGTCTAATGATGATTACATCATAGGCTGATACAATACACAATAGTACATATAAAGAGGAGAATTTGATCAACATTTGTTTTTGACGAAACTATCAGATATACATTTTCAGGTGAGGAAAATTTTAATTTGTACCTGACTTCCAATGCTATACGTTTATGTAAAAGAAAATAATTAAATTTTTTTTTAGTGAACGAATTTTAGACGTACTTTACTACTTTTCTTCATGTGAGAATTTGTAAATTTTTTTTTAGTGAATGAATTTTGGACATACTTTTCTTCATGTGAGAATTTATTATTTTCTTTGTAAATTAGGGAATAATTACAACTTTGAAGGAATCATTTGGATTCATCAAATGCCCTAACAGGGAATCCCGTGTTTATTTCCGCTTTTGTGAACTTTTGAATCCAGATAGTCCAGTTCAACTTCAGGATGAAGTGGAATTCACTGTAGTTAAAGTAAGCAGAAACGTTACCTAATTTCTCTATTAGACTAGTATACTGGTGATTGCATTAAAATTTCATAAAGAAGAGAGACAAAAGTATTTTGAATTAAAATGATTCAGCTCCTTTTTTCATCCCTTTTAAAATTACTACTTTTTGTTTGTAGGATCCTGTTTCTGCAGGGCGTTCACATGCCATCAGGATTAAACAGCTTCCTCCTGGAACTGTTTGCTTCAATTCTATCTCATCAGTAGGAGACTCTGTGACAGAACAGAATATCGGGATTGTAGAAAAAATAGCAACCAACTGTTCTAAGAGTCCAAGTAAAGGTGTGTTTGGATCAGCATCTACTGATGGCATTATTTCTTTTCACAAGAATGGGGAAAAAGAAATAATCCATTACCAGATAAAAGATTGTGACTTTCAGAATCAACCTAAGTCGGGAGACAAAGTGAGTAAATAAACTATGTAGTTGATCTCTAATGTGTTACTCTATTTATTAGTATTTTCCACATTTTAAATAATATTGTAATATTTCATGTTATTTAGAAATTTTGACAAATGATTAGTAGTTGTTAAATGTTTTCATTGCACTTTCAAAAGCAGCTCACCGGTACTAGACTGTCTGTTTAATTCTGGATTCAGGTTTTTGATTTGTAAATAATAGTCATTTTCAGCAGTTCCAATAATTTTAAACACCTGTTTGAGAATGTTTGCTTTCACGTGCCTTGGTAAACTGTGTTCGTTAACTCTATCCACCAGTCTTCTTGTAGTAGATCCTGTATATACTCTAGAACACAGAGCATTTATACATTTAGCTAACATTCAAGCCATTTGGTTTGCTTATTCTGTCTTACAATATATTTCAAAATAACATTATCAGGAGGAATCACAATATAGTTCAATACTTTTCATTTTGATTGCAAATGCACTAAGAAAGTACTGTACTCTGGGGCTGTGGGTATACTAAAAGAAAAAGATGGTCAAATCCCAGTATTCAATCATACAAGAGCAGCTCATGAGTTGAATGTTTGGTACTGTTAACTATCTGTTTTTCCTCCAGTCTATTAATTCAGTTCAAAGTTAGGGATGGTTATGCACAGATAATCATTACTTAGTTTTGCATGGAATTTTTAAAGCAAACAAACAAGATTTGGCTCTAATACTTGTAATTTGCATGATGATTTTGAAACAAGCTTCACGTGTGTCAGTCTTAGGTAAGCCACATTTCAGACTGACTTGCTGATCTCAAATATATATTATGTTTTTCATACATTCAGTTTTCAAGCATTAATCAAATATAATTTCATCTTTTTTTATATTTACACAGTTTAAGAATTATCCTATGTCATATAGTTGATTTTATAAACTTCATTTTTTGCAACTTCCACCTGACTGAACACACTATCTAGACACAAAGTGACAAAATATTGTTATTGTGACATGACTTAAGCTTTTATTAATGTTTTGATGAGTGGATTTGTATTCAAATTAAGTGTGCATTAACAATAAACAGATGCTAAATGACTTAAGTGTTAAGTATATTTTAAGAACAGTTTAATAGAGTAAGTTAACAATTATAATTATTTAAAAAGTGGTTTAAATGACTAAATGCACACACATATTAACAAACATCAAGAACGTTATTGAAGTGAAATATGTTATTACTTAAGTCTTTAAATAAAAGATATAAAAAAAACGTTTTTATTCAGTAAAATAAATTTTACTACTATAAAGAAAACTTAACTATGGACATTTTTGAAACTTGGAGCTTTTGATTCTAGAAATACTCCTCTGAAGAGCTCTGCCTCTACGGATAAGCTCTATTATGCCTTGTGTCAGTGGCTTTCCTAGTTGGCTGTTACTTAAGTTACAGTATAAATTATTCTTACAATTGGGGAAGTAATGGTTTCATCTTATGTAAACATATGTGAGTTTGTATGTGGCTACATTGATGAGACAATATCAGATGCAATATGTGATATAGCAGCATAAAATTAGTAGCAAGAAAGCCAGTATATACAGCTTTCTTTTGTTCATGGTACATGTATACAAAGGTTGGTTAATTTACCCAATTTGGGCCAAAATATATATAATTACTTTTGCTATTGAGGTTGTTAGCTGTCTGACTTTGAGACATATTCTGAAATCTCCTGGCTCAAAGCTTGTGCATCATGAGGCATATTCTGAAATCTCCTGGCACATTTGTCCTTATTCCAGTGTTCTTTTATCTATTATTGACAATTGACTTGCAAGTCTAGATGTGTGATAATACAGATGTTATGCATATATACATCTTATTTAAAAACAAACAGTCATTGGTTTCTCCAGATCTATCCAAAATACCACCTTATAAATAAAACTTTGTACATGATAATTAGAGGGGAAACAATTGATCTGTAATGTAGTCTGTATGACATTACCAATTTCCTTAAACTCAAAAGTAATTTGAATGACATACCTCTTGCACATAGGCACCCAAAATCTGCAAGGTTTCTCTCAAAGCTGATCAAATTGATAGTACCTTTGTCCATAGGATCGAGGGAATCGTTAGGCTATGCCTATATATTATCTAGTTTGAAAAGCATTAATTTTGCTAAATTACAACTTGAATCCTTATTTCTTTAAAAATAATTATTTTGAAAAAGTGCCTCGTGAACCAAGTGTCTTGGCCAGTCCAGGTTCTTCACAATATGTGACAGCAAAATCTGCACACAAAATGGCATGGAGGCTTGAAGGATATATCAGATATAGTCCTGTACTTTTAAAACAGTATACTAGAATATTTTTAACACCATATTGAATTTCTACTTCTCTTGATTCATAATCCCATGAAATATTTGCATCATGTCTTTATCTTAAAGAATATAGCACAGATAAAAACAAGAAGTTATTAGTGTTTTATCACTGGACACTACAGGAAACTGATTGCTCAAGTACAAGTGTTTTCTTTCAGTAATATACATGTATTAAAGAATGTAAAGAAAGCATTGACATCAGAATACTAATATTTTGTTGCAGGTGGAATTCATTATCAGTACATCTAAAGTGAACAACCAAAAGATTGCCAGTGATATTAAAGTTGTAGGTCAACAAGTGAAGAATGGCATCAGATACTCTCAACGTGGATTTATAGCAGCATTGAAAGATAGTTTTGGATTCATAGAAACTGAAGATCATGAAAATGAAGTTTTCTTTCACTTCAGGTATAGTAACTTTTAGGTTGTGTTTTTTATAACTTTTACCTTGTTTAGTTATGTGTTTATATGCCAGATTTGTTTTCTCTAAATTGACAGAAACTAATTTCAGTTCCATTCATTGTTCTGCTTAACCTCGTGAAAATCAAACAGTTGTAATCTTTGACTTGTTTCTTAATGAAAAAAACCTTTATAAATGAAAGTATTATGCTGTATATAACTTTTGTTAGCATTGCAATTTTGATAGTAAAACTTGAAGACACATAGTATACACATGAAAAGAAAGATTTACAAATTCATATTTTCAGAGTATTAGTATACCAAGCATACATGCATTTTAGCCATTTATGTTTAAGAGTCTTAAGTACAGAAGGTTACCATAATTGTGATTAACAAGATTGTTTTATTAGCTCGTCTTATGATCCCATTTGAGCTGCATGACAACACTCAGATTAAGTACTGGGAAAATAGGGATAGCAAGATCATAATCTCATCTCATTTGATTGGTCAGTAAAGCAATTAGCATGTGTCTAGCCTTGGTACTTACATTTACCAAGACATTGTGTATTTGTGAGTGTTCTAAATTTTGCAGAAAAAAAGGTATATTTGTTGCCAACTTCGCAAGTGTGTGAAATCAGATAATAGGGCTAGCTTTTTTTATCATTGATTTCATAGAATTGCAAAAAGGGTATTCATTTAGCAGCTACCCAGTGCTGACAAATTTCATTTTATTTTTTTCCTTTGTTTTCTGCTACTGTAATTTTCTATTTATAACTGTTAATTTTTTTTAGGCTTGATATTACCCAAACATTACTTATTATTATCCTGGGACTTTAATGTTCACTCCCATGTTTTCTTTAAGTTCTAATAGGAGTTAAAAGTATTTTCATCTTTATCTAAAACAATTAAAAACTAATAAATAATTAAAACAATGTTTCAATACCTAATCTGTTGTCATCATCAGATCTTTTCTTTCAATAAGTTGATCTTGTGGTCCCACGATTGGGTTCTTACTCAGTTCAACTTCTGAATTTTTTACATCTTGTATTCAATGATTAATGAATAAAGAACACCACCATCTCTTTGTGTTGAATATTTATCAGTATTATGGTATTTTGTCTTTCATTTTTATTTCAAGCTTATTTGTAGTCAATTAAAAATTAAAAAGGCTTTTTTTGTACTGTTTCTTCATTATCTAAAATCAACTTAAATAGCAAGTCATCTGAAAGTGTAATTCAGCATATAAGCCTAAACTTTCATAGAATGTTTGTTTACCAATAGAAGTAAATTTCTATTTCCAGTCAGTTTCTCTGTATAAAACAATCCTCAAATGCACTATCATTTGAGCAGTTAAATTGATAAAATAATACATATGCTTTATGTGTAAACAGTGAGAGTTGAGAGAAGATAGACCTGCAATCACTCTGGGTGATGTCTTTAAATTTGAGCATTTTATAAAAAAGGGGGAAGGGTCCTTTTGGAAGTTAAAACATCAGCTTTTTTCACAAAAAAATGTCAATTTTTAAGCCAAAAATCTGTGAGAAAGGGGTGTTTGTCTTGTGGAACTCGTATACATACACACTGACTTCACTTCTTCACACCCAGAAGCGTGCATTCTGCCTGAAGGGCAAAATTGCACCAATAAATCTTTAAAAATTTAGTAAAATATACTTGTAGTCATTTTTCCACACATTAAAAAAAAATTCACAGTTGAAATTTATGAAAAAGTTTCATTTAACTTTATACATGAAATTTTAAAAGATCAAAAATTTTGGTTTTGGGGTTTATTTTGATGAAATCATTAGTGTTTGTGAATTTCCTGAATTTTTCTGTTCATAATATAGAGCTCAACTTCTAGCCAGTTAGTGTTTCTGGACCTCAATTGTCATAGTATGATGTAATTGCCTATATCTCAGCTTTAAGAATGAATATGCTAGTGATCTAAACATTTTGTAAAAGTTTGTTGTTGTTTTTTTTTTTATCATTATTTTAGATTGTAAAAGGTAATAAAGCTTCCAGTTGAACAAGGATTTACATAGAGATTGAAATAAAGTGGTAAAGCTTACTATGTTAGTAGAAGAAAGGGTGTCTGTGGACAACTTCTACTGCAGTTTACAGTCCTGATTTTTTTGATAACTTGCTTGATCATTTTGTACTTCATTTGAATTATGATGTTTAAATATGATAGGAAAATACATTTCTTTGTGGAACAAGATAAGATGTGCTTGTTTAAATCATTTTGCACTTGACTGTATCAGGTTTTGTTTAACCCGTTACTTGCCATGGCCATTTTGTCTTATTGTGAGGGCAAAATCACATTTGTGAATTGAAAAAATGATAAAGAACTTATCTTTTATTGGATTTCAGATTTTATTTTTGTTAATAGTAGCATAACATTCAATTATTCGTACAAAATTGTATTATTTAATGACGTTTAAAGAGGAATTTTATGAAAAAATTCCTAAAATACGTTTTAGACTGTAAATAAGTGCCCTCTAAGAAGAAAATGTTTTTTCAAAAATTTTAAAGTATTTCCTTCCACTTCAGCGCTGATCCTGCCATCTATGATTGGTATCTAAACCTTTTTCTAGTCTATTTTCTTTATAAAACAGCATCTGGGCGTGTTAAACCTCAGTTGTAAAACTTTTAGCCAATCCTAGTAGAAGGTGTCAATTTCAGTATCATGTTATTCCATTCGCTGTATCTCATATTTGAGAAATCATAGGATGATAAGGAAAACACGTGTACGAAACGTTGTTCTCTGGATTTTACAATATG